ATCTATCACAAGCAGCTGAGTAGCTGCTTTAGGGATGTGGTCTGCTTCCTGTATATAAGAAGCAGCTTTGGGAATGGTCTCTGGCTTATGGCACCCTTGAACCCTGCATGTAGCTGAGTCATCTTTCAGCAGCCTGTAATGCTCTGTCAATCTAAGTCCATTAAAGTCAATGGACTTTAATCAATAGCCTACTGTATTGTTTGGTAACATTGGGACTGTGTCTTTTCACTTGTTGACCTTGGGTTTGTCAGCCTCAGCAGCCAGCAGCTCTCTCTGAGTGAAGAAAACCTCTAGCTTCAGTGGGCCAGGAGCAGGAGGCAGAGGTGAAGTCCAAGGTCGAGGAGCTTTCACCCAGCCCCTAGAGCCTGGCACTTTGAACTCAGACTTAAAGCCTCCAAAATTGTAAGAGAATAAACTCCTGTTTGTTCAAGCCATCCCACTTGTGGTATTTCTATCAGAGTGGCACTAGCAAACCAAAACACATAGCAAAGAGAATAATGAAAGCTCTTAGTTATTAGGGGATCCTAGTGTGTTGGAGGAATAGCAAAGAGGCCAATGTGGCTGGAGTGGAGTGCAAGGTTGTGGGAAGCAAGAGGTGAGGCAAGGAAATAATGAAGAGCAGTATCACATAGTGTTTTGTAGGTCATTGGTTCTTACTCTGAGTGAGATGAGAATCCATGGGAAAATTTTGAGTATGATCTGACTTATTTCTAACAGGCTCACTTTGGCTACCATGCAGAGAATAGACCTTAGGAGGGACAAGAGAGGAAGCAAGGAGACCAGTTCAGAGACTGTTGAGATAATCCAGGCAAGAGAAGGTGGTAGGTTGGTTGGAGTGAGGTGGTAGCAGGCAATTGGGATGGTGATAAGAGGTCAAACCCTGAAATGCATATTTTTGAAGTATAGGTGACATTTCCTCATAGACTGCATAAGGTCTTTCATGGAGTGAAAGACTAAAAAAAAAAAGTATTTGGTCTGAACAAATGGAAAGATGGAATTGCTGTTCATTGAGATAGGAAAGGTGCAGGAAGATGAGGTTATGTGTAGAAATCAAGATCTTAAATTCTGGACATGTTAAGATTGAGATGCTTACTAAATATTCAAATTAGATGTTGAGTAAGCAGTTTGATTTGGAGTCTGGATTCAAGAGAGAAAGGTCCAGGCTAGTGATAGAGAGTTGAAAGTCATCAGCATATAGGTAATATTTGAAGTCATTAGAATGGATGAGATTCCTTTGGTAGTGAATATATTTACAAAAGAGGCCTAAAGAATAAATTCTGAAGTACTCCTACATTTAGTGCTGGGGAAATGAGGAAGGATCAGCAAAAGAGGCTTTGAAATAGTGGCCAGAAAGATAGAAGAAAATTCATGTTTCAGTGAGGAGGGTCTTAGTTACCTATGTTTCTATAATAGAAATATCACAAGTGGATGGTTTTCAAGAACAGAATTTCTTTTCTCACAGTTCTGGAGGCTAGAAGTGTTGGCTGTGTCTATTCCTTCTGTGAGTCTCTCTTCTAGTTTGGTGTCTGTTGGAGATTCTTGGTATTCCTTTGCTTGTAGATAATCCTCACATGTCATCTGTCTTCTCTTTTGTGAGATTGTGTGTTGTCCAGTCTTTTTGTAACTTTTATAACCGAGAAGTGATTAGGTTTAAGATACACCCTACATTAGGATGACTGCAGCTGGTTGGTTGACTGCATTATGTTGCATTGCTTTATGGAAAGTAATCTGTTCTACCCAAGTTCAGCTGTAATCACATGTAACTACTCCATGACAACAACTAGAATAATATTTGACTAAACCACTGAGAACCATAGCCTATCCAAGTTGGCATATGAAATTAACCATCACAGGGAGAGAGTCATCAACTGCATTAAAACAATGCAAATGTATTTTACAAACTCTAAAATCAATCAATGTGAGCTCTGTGGCGTAGTGGATAAGGCATTTGATTGCTAACTGGAAGGTCAGCGGTTCAAATCCACCAAAGGAAGTCGGGGAAATCTGTTTCCATAAAGATTTACAGCCTCAGAAACCCAATGAGGGTCACAATGAGTTGAATGACTCAATATTTATTAAGCACCTAAATGCCAGGCACTGGTGACTACATTAAACAGATGAGTGGTAGGTAGGTCCATAGGTAGGTAGCTAGACAGATAAGCTCCTTATGGCTCCTGCCCTCCAGGAGCTCTCAGTTTTGTAGTGTAGACTAGCATGTATTCAAAAGAGTTGTTGTTAGTTGCTGTAAAGTTGATTTTGACTCATGGTGACCCCAATGTGTGCAGAGTAGAACTGCTTCATAGATTTTTCAAGGCTGTGACCGTTTGAAAGCAGATCACCAAGCCTATTTTCTGAGGTGCCTCTGGGTGAGTTTGAACTACCAGCCTTTCAGCTAGTAGTCCAGCAAATGTTTAACCATTTGCACCACCCAGGCACTCCTTGTTCAAATGAGTGGGACTGTGCAAATAAGTATGAGAAATGCTATGGCAGATATGGCCCTGGCACAAAGGATGGAGTGAGCATTTTTCCTTTTTTTCCCCTAGGCAATCTCAGCTGTGCTCACAGATTTAAATTCCTATTATGTCTTTTACATCACTATCTTTTCAGTCCCAACCCTTCCACGTAGCTTTACAATCATATGCAACTGCCTGTTTGACCTCCTTACCTGAATATTCCACAATATGTACTTCATATACAATGTGTCCAAAATTAGATTTATCATTTCCTTTCTCACACCTCTCTTTAGACCCTACCTTGCCAGATACTCAAACACATGATAAAGATATGATTACAAAAACAATATGGCCCTCGTATAAATATACTAACCAAAAACCAAACCTGTTGCCATTGAGTTGATACCAACTCATAGTGACCCATAGAATAGAGTAGAACTGCCTCATGGGGTTTCCAAGGCTGTAATCTTTACTGAGGCATACTGCCTCATCTTTCTGCCACGGAGCATCTGATGGGTTCGAACCATTGACCTTTCAGTTAGCAGCCGAGCCACCAGGGCTCCTTTATAAATATACAAGAAACCCAATAATAAATGTGTAAATATATGAATTTGGTATAGCATAAAGGTGGCATTAAAAAATCAGTGCTGGGACAACTGGTTAAATATTTGGGAAACCATTTAGAGCTTCACTTCATACCTTTTATCATAATGAGCCTAGATAAATTAAAAACTTAAGTGTAAAAAAATTAAATAAAAAAACTGGCAGTGAATAAACATGAATTCATAAATATACATTGTTTGGGTGGACTATTTTAAGCTAAAAACAATGGAAGAAATCCTCACCATTCCCCCCCTTTCTCAGGTGTCAGCACTACTCCCAGTCACCTACACCAGAAACCTCAATATCATTCATTACTCTTCTCACTCTCATCCCCCTCATCCAGGCACTCACTCAGTCCTACTGATCTGACCTCTCAGCATTTCTGCAGTCTTCCTCTCCCCTTCCTATTTGCACCTACACATGCTACCACCATCTCTGACTTTTTGAAATAACCTGCTGACTGTTTTTCTCATAGGATTGCCTTATACATAGCTGCCGGCAGGATCTTTCCAAAACACATTTGACACATCTTAATATTTTTCAATGGCTTCTCATTTGCCTTCCCAGTAAAGTCCAAACTTTTGTGCATGGCCCTGGATGGTCCAGAACCTGGGTGGTTCTCCAAGGCTGAATTTCTTCCTGCAGCCCTTCCAGAGAAGTTCCGTGTGCTGGGGGTACACGACTCAGTGGGTCTCTCTCTGCAGCTTGTTGTGAAATAGCAGTTTGGTGTCCCAGCGTTTAGCATCCCTTCATCCACTTGGTGTCCCATGCCTCATTCACCCTCTCTGCCCTGGGTTTCCTTCCAGTGCTAACTTATCCACTAAGTACATATTGCCTAAAAAAAAAAAAAAAGACATACTAACTGCCATCGAGTCGGATCTGACTCATAGCGACCCCTCCTTGGGTTTCCAAGGCAGTATCACTACAGAAGTAGTTTGCCCAATCTTCCTTCCAAGGAGTGGCTGGTGGGTTTAAACTGCCAGCCTTCTAGTTAGCAGTCAAACGCCTTAGGCACTACGCTACCAGAATTCCTCCCATAGTGCCTAGGGCCCACAATGTTTTTAGAAGACCAGTAAAACAGTTTAATTTTATTTTAAAAGTAGAAAAATGAATGTAACAACAATGAACATATAATAATGAATTCAACCTGGATTATATCCCTCTTTATATGAATGTAGTCATAGTTTTTTTATATTTTTATAAAGTTCACAAAAGCAAAAGTGCCTAGGGCCCATTTCCCAAATAAAGTATTTGCACTTTAATCTTTGCCTCAGGCTCTGCTTTCTAGATGGCAGTGGTTTTTGTTCTCGTGCTTGTCACCTTTTAATTGCAAGATGACTGCTGTATCACCAGGTGTCACTGCAGTGTTCCAGGAAAAGGAGGGTAGAATGCAACTATCCCTAGTTGTTAAGAAAATACAGTTTTACCATAAACCACTCCAGCAGACTCCTGCATCCATCCCATGGCCAGACTGTCATATAGACCACCTAACTGAGATGGAGGCTGAGGAATCCAATAATTAGCATGCTAGCCTCTTGAGTAGAGGAAGAGCGTTGTGTGCTCAAGGCATAAAGACTTCTACAGTTTGGTCTTGTTCCCCTCTCTGGTCGCCCTGACTGACATGTTGTGCTCCAGCAATATCAGGCTGTTGGCAGTTCTCCCACCATATGGTGCTGTTTCTCTTGTCCACACCTTTGCTCAAGCTCCTCCTGCTATTTGCCCCCTTCCCCGAGCCTAGTTAACCTTACCTTCTACCTTCTTCAGGAATTGTTTCCTCCCTGGTCCTCCCACCTTTGCCTCCTCACACTCATATACATAAGATGTACCAAGGGCCTGCCAGCAATTGATAATTACCTGTTTGTACATGTTTTTCTACTACTGTGTCTAATTTGTTTTGGTAAAAACATGATCTGCCTCATCATCTCCTTTCTCTTCTGTTTGCAGGCTCAGAAAAGAGTCAGGGCATGTTGGCCTTGGCCATCAGTCCCAATCGACGATACCTCGCTATCTCCGAGACTGTGCAAGAAAAACCTGTCATCACCATTTATGAACTGTCTGCTATCCCTTGTCGGAAGCGCAAAATCCTTAATAATTTTGACTTCCCAGTTCAGAAATTTATTAGCATGGCTTTTTCTCCAGACTCCAAATATCTGTTGGCTCAAACATCAACTCCAGAGTCAAACCTTGTCTATTGGTTATGGGAAAAACAGAAAGTAATGGCCATTGTTAGAACTGACACTCAGAACAATGCTATCTACCAGGTACCTGCTAAGATAACAAATATCATATAAATTATAAAGAATAGTAAAAGTTGTCTTTTGTTGAAAGCTTTCTCTATATCAAGAAGTGTGCTGATTTTTTCCATGCATTCTTTAATTTAGTCTCATAACAACCATATAAGGTAAGTACTGCTATTGTGATATAATCAAGAGGTCATTAAAAAGATAAGAAAGGAAGAAAGGACCAAAATGGATATCAGAAGAGATGCTGAAACTTGCCCTTGAATGGAGAGTAGCTAAAGCAAATGGAAGAAATGACAAGA